GAGATAAGAGGCAGCGGTGTTCTTATCTATGAGATAAGAGGCAGCGGTGTTCTTATCTGTGAGATAAGAGGCAGCGGTGTTCTTATCTATGAGATAAGAGGCAGCGGTGTTCTTATCTGTGAGATAAGAGGCAGCGGTGTTCTTATCTGTGAGATAAGAGGCAGCGGTGTTCTTATCTATGAGATAAGAGGCAGCGGTGTTCATATCTGTGAGATAAGAATTGTGTTTCAGTGCGTGCGTCACGAACAAGTGTCATGCGTGGCTCACGCAGAGTGCGTGCGTGTATGCTAATTTAGAAACCCAAATGCTGGTTCACAACACCGTAGTAAACCAAATGCTGGTTCATGACCCCGTAGACTACAGCCAACGTTACATTGCTTGCTCGAAGAAAAGTTGTAGTAACGGTCGGCGTTTTAATGGCGTTTTGGCAGCTGACTGTCCCGTGAAGTTCGACATCGAGGCTTCGGGTTTCATATGCTGGCTTCCAAATAATGAAAATAGGTAATACAATACTATTAAATGATACGTCGGACGACTGTTTTACTAAAACTGTCACTAAAACACCGGCTAGACCTTTCTTTCGCCGTCTATCGAAGAGTGTATTACTTGCGTGTCATTATGAAGCCTTAGTTTATTACATAAAGCAAATGCACGCAGTCTTCATTGAAAGCGTTTGGCAGACCAACTCCATTACCAGCTCAAAACTTTACATATTACAAGTGGCTCGGTGGTAACAGCTCAGAGCAACAGGATTGGAGCGACGAGCTATGGGTTCGATCCCAGCTACCTGCGACAGTTTTGGTGAAGTCGGCGAGGAGGCCGGGCGGCTAAGAACAGCAAAATTCTAGAAGTTAGTTGCGTGTTCTGTGAATGCTAATAATATAATATTATTATTAAGCATATGTCATGTCCTTGTAATAACAATATAAGCAATAAGCTGTGAATCCTCTGCGATAATAAGAAACTGCGACATGCATAACGAAAACTGAATGCTACATAGCTATAATATTCTATATACGATACGACTCATACATTAAATGAATAGGCAGCACATTGTCTATGAAGGTAACTTATTGTTCTTTAGAAGACTTTTACCATCTGATGCTCAAAATTACGGATTACAATCGAAATATTGTTTGAGCTTATTTCTGATTTTTTTATTGAACTATCATATACTTAACTGTGGGCAATCCACAGCTCCTTTAATTCTCTTGCTTTAATTTAAATTTAGCGACTCGCTCATAATCCTGTAGTGCGTGTAATGCATATGATTAATTTAGTATACAAAAGTGGAGCACACGACCGAAATTCCACAAATTGTGCGAAATTAATCGCGTGTAATGTATTTTTGTTATTATTTGTTATATACTAATTATTTATTTGCTTGAGGAAGATGGGCCATTAATTAACATTTGGACGCTGATATTGTACAGCCTCGGGGAGTGGGAGGGGGGGGAGGTGGACCCGTGACTGCGCCGCCCCCTTGCAGCGCTGCTTTAACGCAGCTGTGCCTGCAGCTGCCTGCTGACACTGCCTGCAGCTGCCTGCTGACACTGCC